GATCTTTATCATAGCGCTATCGCTACACATAGGCTATACACCTGAAAACATGCAAATGTGTGATATCTAGTTTCCTCTTACAGAATAGCTGATATGACACCTTCATTCCATCTCTTACAGATGATTAATCAAATGCATTGCAGCATGCATTGCCTCAGCCAAATATGCCTTTGGCAAGTTATTTCCTTTCATCATAGCACAAGCTGCTTCCACAATGTGCCAATTTTTCCTTTCAACAATCCCGTTTTGTTGAGGTGCCCCAACATCCCGTTCTCTTAAAAGAAATCGTGAAATCCCTCTAATACAAATTCTCCACCATTATTTGTCCTGAATTCTTGTATTAAACTCATTCTCAACAAGCACTTTGTCCTCTTTGAAGTACTCAAATACTTCATATTTATTTGCTGAAAATAAATCCATGTGTAACTACAATAATCATCAATAAAGGTGACATAGCACTTCATGCGCCTGCGAAATTCAATTGGACTTTGGCCCAATGGGTGTCTTGCAATGGTGGACGATTGAATGAATGGATGCTTTGTACCCTTTGCAAACGCATATGCTTCACAAATATGATTCCCATCAAATTGTATCATAGGCATCCCAGTAACTAGCTTCTTCCTTAACATATCTTTTAGCCTAGGGAGATAGCAATGTCCCATTCTCTTGTGCCTTAAATCTGCAATATCAATGGAGGAACTCTTCGTATTTGATGGCAAATCCATGCTCATAGCAAATAAACAACCAACTTACTTTCCACAGTCTTCTTTTGACAGGATTTTACAGCCTCTTTCATTCAAAGTGCTTCTTCAATTTTCTCCTCACAGACTTCTTCCTTATCATGTTTTCCTTTGGCAACATAATTTCCTTGATTATGCCAACAAGCTTTCGCATAAAATCTGATTTTTCTTTAAGTCTAGCAGGAACCTCTTTTAGATCCATGAGCTGTACGAGACTCACCTTGCTCATTATTGTGGTGTTGTCGTCGAGATTCTTAATTATTCAGGGGCCTTCCTCAGCCACAATATCTTCCTCTTCCACCGGACCTCCTATGAGAGTTAGTAAACAAGGCCTCATTCCAATCTTCCACTCTCATGGAACCAATATTTGATTCCGATTTTCTTCTCTCAAGGAGTGCTTCTTCATGAAGCAAAGGACTTATAGCCTCTTCCATGAATGGCCCAGATTTTTGCACAAACACCCTCACGGCATCAAACTAGGTCCTTTAATTTCGCAAGATGATAGCAACTTAGGTGTCGTTATCCACCTTTATGCCAATTCCCTGTAAATGATCATAAAGTTCTTTAAGTTTTTGAGTGAACATTTTGATGGAGCCATTGCCTTGTCTTCACGCTCATAATTCTACTTCTAAGAATGCTTTTCTCACACCACTCGCCTATCCCAAGCTACTCTGGTTGTTTCTATAATCCTTACATGCGAGAACATATCTAGTCCACACGAAATTTGGATTGCATGTAGAGACTTTTCATTTTGTTTTTTCCATGCCACAGGCCTATCTGAGGCACTTGGTCTATATTCTTTCCCATCCCATCAACTACATCCCATGGACCTTTCCCTATCACATACTTTTCAGCCACACTTTGCAATTTCCATAGTTCTTATCTAGGGGAACTTAGGGAACTATAGAACTTGTTGTTGACATAATAGAGTTTCTCCACTCCTTCGAAGAAATAACAACTTGAAACAATTTTTTTTAATATGATAGGAAGCAAGAACTCACCTTGAAATCAGCGAATCTCTGATCTCAATAACTGCGCTCTGATCAACATTGAAAATACGCATTGAAGCATTATTTGTCGATGGACATATGATGTGACATGCACACAAACGAACAAAATTCGGGTGTAAAGAGAACTTTTGTTTCGAGAAATCTTTAGTCTCAGTGCACTGTTTACACACTCTCTCCCTCTCTACAACTTTCTCTCTCTACAAATTTTCTCTCGCTAACTAGGGACATTGGCCCTCCCTTCTCTCTCAATGGCACAGTGGCCTTTCCCTCACTCTAATTTTCAATTCTTGGTCCTATGAGCTCTTTATCTCACTAACCCATAATAACTTTCTTCTCATGAGCTCTTAATCTACCTTGGTCTCACTTAATCCTCCCATATGTATAGACCTTTGACTTTATCCTAATCCTAATAGAAATCTGGGTAGACCCTCATGGAACTCCCTTAATCCTAGTAGGACTCAACCTCCATGTTGTATTACCTACTGGAACTCCCAATGAGCATTGACCTCTTACTAATTGGATGACTTATTTCCTCCCAAACTTTATCCCATACTACTTATTAATCTAAACAAGACTCCTAACAAACTTAGCAATGCTATCTTCTAACAAACCGATCCACTCTTCTCAGCAACCTGACACCTTCATTTCAACCCACCATCAAAACCCACATCTTTAAAATATGGCTTTAGAAGGCGCAAGCTCAATGGACCAAGGCCGGGGACTAACATTTCGGGCTGGAAATCACAGATAAGGCAAAACCTAAACAGGCAAAGTGATAAGAACTCAATGCATGATACTTCAGAGAAAGATTGTAAGCTATAATGGATATTCTCATGTACCTCTTCTCTCATGAGCTCTGGTTCTCAGTCTGCTTCAGTGAGTTTGCTACAATCGGCTACCATTGTCTATACTCCTTTTGATAATGGAAAGGAAAGAGGGCAAGAAGCAACACTTTTTAAGGATCCAATTCCAAGGAAATCTATTGAGATAGATGAGGTTTTCCAGTGAGGTTCCTATGTTGAGGTCACTGGAAACTAGTCTCTCTGGTGATTTTTTTTTCCTATAAGAATCTAACTTTGTGGTTGCCAGTAAGCCTATCCTAAAGATCTTTGCAAGTAAATCACCAAAGAAAATAAAGGCACTTTCTACTGTGGATAACTTAACCAGAGCTTATCCAGAGCATCTTGCACATACAGAACGCCCTCATGTCTTAATTTGGATATAAGGTTATGACTAATCCTTATTTAGGTTAGGTCTTTATATGTTTTAGTTTCCTAAATTGATATTCATTGTGCTTCTTTCATATCGTATCCATGGTTCCAATGTTTTAGATAGGATACCTGTACCTGTATCCATGTCCTGGATTCTGGGAAAAACCAATTCATACATCCACTTCACGTATCTGTGTCTAGGTCTCTATATATGTATCCATGTATCATAAGGAAAGAGCCAATAAAAACAATGTAATAATGATTTGTGAGCCTTGCTTCCAACATTGTGGCTTGGGGAACTATCGATAAGATGGAATTCGATTTTAAGAGAGGGATAAAGTCTAGTAGAGGGAAAAGTTAAATAGATAGTTAGGGACATTAGGTGTAGAGAAGATTTAATTTGTTCTAGGTACCTGAGGTTGTTTATGATACACATTGCTGACATTTTTATTTGTTCATTTTCTCTACCAATACATTCTGGTGGTTGTGTTGTATTGGCTTGATAGGATAGGGGAAGAATGGCATGGTCCAACTTTAATTTAAACATGAGTTGAGAGGTTATGAGACCGAGTGGTTGGCATATCTGTCGCTTCTTATGAAAGGGTATAACATTTCAAAAAAGGGAAGAAAATATAATCTTTTATCTTGGAAAGCCTGTTGCCTCTTCTGTGTATGTTTTATCTGATGAAACCAATACAATAAGCATCGGCCTTCAAATGAGAAACCAAGGTAATTGGGGCTCCCTTATGAAAAACAATATGTTCCAGTATAGAGTATAAAGTTGAAAGAAAACCCTTTAACCCACTACCCAAACACCTAGTATAAAGCATGAAAAATGAACAACGTACAGATTAAAGGGAAATTTATCAAGATACGCATAAGAGCCGAACTATTTAATGGTTTACCCATTTGCAAATATTCCAGGTCATGATCATGTGCTCTTTCATAAGAATTTTGAAATTAAATCAAAGACACGCATCGAATGTTAAATAGTTAATTTTTCATAGGTATTTGGATAACTGATGAGGTTTGTATAAGGTACCTACCTTATACTATACAAGTAAAGCACACCTCTAAATTTTATCGGAAGAAGTAGTTCCAGTGTCGGAAAGCTTATGATGGATTCAAAATCCATGTTCAACCCTAACTATAAAATTTAAAATTCTAAAAATGTTACAGATCGAGCAAATCTATAAACCCTTGAAAATCTTGAAAATAGATTATCTAGATAACTTATTACAAGATGTATTATTTTAAAGAAGTTTATAGAAAATCTTGAAAATAGATTGTCTAGATAACTTGTTACAAGATGTACTATTTTAAAGAAGTTTATAGAAAATCTTGAAAATAGATTGTCTAGATAACTTGTTACAAGATGTACTATTTTAAAGACTTGAAATTCTTTTCTTTGTTTATATCTATATATCTCAAGGTCGAGATGATTAAGTCAAAGGTTTTCCAATTTCAAAATACCCTTTCTACTGGATTTTTTTGTTACACTTTAATACTTTATTCTATACTATAAGGTTCAACCTTATACTATAAACATTTTCCTTGGATAAAATTCCTTAAGATTAAAACTACATGCCCAAAACTTTACGAATTCTTAAAACAGTAGACAGAATTATAACCAACTGCAAAGGTAATGAACCGTTAATAGATATGAAAATATCGAAGCATCATTTTCGACAGCAAAAAAATAATATAATTCATTGTATGATTCTCAACTATTCAAAGCATAATCAAGACAAGATGCATTAAACTTTCTCACAAAAAAAAGACAAGATGCATTAAACTGAAATAACATCAAGCAAGAGCTCAAAATGAACTTATGATAGCATCAATTGAGTTATGGTAACTAGGCGCAAAATTAAATTTATCAAAATTCTATACGAAACAATAGAATAAACAAAATTTCACCCCAAAAATAGAATAAAACCATGCCGTGAAAATGAATCAAAACTGCCACCATATAAATTCTGATTGAAAATCGCAGATCTCAGGAAATGAAAGCTCTTGAAAGGAAATTAGGGCCATACCTCAGCTGTTTTGGGTACCTCATCACAGGCGATCTCACACTTTATATCCCCAAGATTTGTGTGCAATGTTACCGACTGCGTAAAAATAGCCCTACTAATTCGTTAATGTAAAGAATCCTTTAAAATTTAATTCGAACATAATGAAATAGGACACAGAGAGAGAGAGAGAACATAGCCATACTGATTCGTTGATGTAAAGAATCCTTTAAAATTTAAATCGAACATAATGAAATAAGACAAAGACAGAGACACAGACAGAGACAGAGACAGAGACAGAGAGATGAATAAAAAATAATGAAATAAGAGAGAGAGAGAGAGAGAGAGAGAGAGAGAGAGGCGAACCATTGTCTTCTGGATGAAAAACGCCCCGCCTTGGGTTTCAGGGAAAATTGCCGCCAAAGGTTTCGATTTTCGAAGATTTTATAGCTGGTCATTTTGCCCGGAATGCCGTGGTATTTATGAGTGTTCGCAAAAACCGAACCGGAACGGTTAGTAGGACATAGATATGAAGCGGTTTAACCGGCTTAATTGATGAATTAGCGTGTTCAACCTCCGAGTCAAAAGAAGTATTGAAAAAAATTAAAAAAATATAAAAAATTATATAAAGAATGATTAAAACAAAACACATTTAAATAAAGTTGCAAATTAATGACAAAATAGATTTTAATCTATTTTATATTTTCTAATAACTATTTTTAAAAAAAAATTTTAAAAAAAAGAAAATATAAAAGTGATATATATTTTTTATTTTTTTAAATACTAATTGATTACTCAAACCGTCCAAAACCAAAACCGACCATTCACGGGGCAGTTACTAATGATACCTACGGCCCCAGGAAATGTATGTAGTACCCACGACTTCAATAAGGACGAACTCATTCTCCAAATTTTAAACCAAAACATTTCATACTCGTATGGAAGTAAACTGTTTATTACTCCCTTGAACTCATCCTCATACTTCACATCTTCCATATCAGAAGGTTAAGACTGATCTAAGTTTCTTATGTCATAAATAAATGGTTTTGTTGTACAAGAAGAATATAATCATATTTAGCCGTAATTTTTTGACACATCCTTAGATGTCTGATTTCATGTCTAAAGACTATGTGCGTTTGTAATGTTTTCATAACAAGAATAGATAACTTTATACTATAGTATATAGAATCTTTTATTTTTTATCTATACATTAACGAACCGTTTGGATACTTCAAAATTTATTACATGATAATATATTACAAGGAAGTATTACATTTCTATTGTTTGGGTATACTTTAATAGTTATGAAATAGAAAGAGATTATCCCAGATTTTTTCAAAAAATAGTTATGAAATAGAAAGAGATTATCCCAGATTTTTTTCAAAAATCACGAAACGCGGTGAGGCATAAAAAAATCTATTACATCTCTCAACTGGTAAACGTTGGGAAATCTTTTGTGCTCGTCTGTGTCTACCCTATCCCTCTTAAAAAAATGCCAACCCCTCATTTTCCCTCTTTCAAACTTGTATAAGGAACGTATCAAAACGAAGCTTCTCTCTTCAATGGTAAGCTCTATTCTCTCTTTCCCTTGAGCTCTAATAACTTGTTTGCATAACATGATCCCTCCCTAAGCTTCTCTCTTCACTGGTACGCTCTATTCTCTCTTTCCCTTGAGCTCTAATAACTTGTTTGCATAATATGATCCCTCCCTTTTAAGCCTGCACCCTCCACAATTGAGCCTTAATAACTGGTTTGCATGTTCTCTTTTTCTCTCTCCAGTTATTTTAGTGTGGATAAGCCCTAACTATTTAGTCTCCTCCATTGCTTCAAAATTTTCTACTTCAATTACCAAACCTTTTAGTTTATTAATCAAATTTCTTCCCATTTTTTTATTTGTACCATAAAGATTTTAAATTTGCTATCATAAATTTATTACTTATTTGAAATTATATAGAGACATTTGAAAAACTTCGATAAAAAAATAAATAAAAATAAGGCTTATCACAATAAAAATATGTATTCCAATCATATTATTCCAATGACTTATCATATGTTGAAACCAAGGTCTAATCAAGTTAGAAGACATGTTATTCCATATAAGTGCCAAAGACATGCAAAATAAATAGGGAATGATATGATGATGACTTTAAAATGGTACAAGTTATTATTAAAAAAAAATTTTGGAATGGTAATGATATTATTATTAGGAAATCTTTTTGGAATGGTACGATGCTGACTTTAATTCCGCATTTCAATAGAAGTTTGTGATATTTATGTGCAAGTGCTGGTAAAATGTTAGTAATGCATTTTCTATATTTCTTCCGGACATAGCCAAACAATAATAATGTATTTCTCAGGTTGCATTTAAATACTACCCAAATAGTAACAATTCATTTGCATGTAATGTATTACGTGGTAGAGGGAAAACCAATTATTTTAATCCATCCTCCTGAAAAAAGTCTTAAAATCAAAGGAGCACCATCAAAAACTCCCACAGAAACTGACAATGAGGAAGAAGAATCAACCTCTCAAACCCAAATAGTCCTTTATGAAACTATCGCTACTCCATATAAATTAAATAATGCCAATATGTCTCGAATAGAATTACTTCCCCATATAATTGAACAAAACATAATCCTCGTGGAGTAGTACTTGGCGTACTATGTGTAGATAGAGGGATTGTTGGATGTGGATTATGATTATATGTAGTAACAGATTGTCATGAGGGTTCACTTTTGGGAATACAGTGGGAAAGAGATATAGAATCTACTGTATCCGTACAGATAGTAGTTCTGTTATTGGTAAATTGGATTTCAATATTTCAATCTGTATGTTCTATGATTCTATCTGGAATATTTTGTATGGATGTTTGGGATGGTTGGTTTTCATTATGAATGGACCATGATTCTAGTAAGATAATATCTGACCAGGATATTGTTTTTGGTATGATGGTATTAGATTTTTCTATATTGGTTTGGAAAAATATTGTTTGTCCTCGTGTATCTACTTGCAGTACATTGGGACGTAAAGTATTCATTACTTTGTAATAAATGCGATATACTATGGCTATGTTTTGGGAACCTAGCATCATATCAAATCCCTGAGTTTTCAAGTTTAGAGATAATACATTTAGAATATTTGGATCTGTAAGTGATACAGAATAATTAAGAAAATAATTAAAATAAATAGGCCCACTACATAAATTAGATTCAACCATCCGAGTAAGGAGTCGGAAAATCTATTATGCCTGGTGTCACGTAGGCATACTAAGATATAATTATTAAGTCCTAAACGAGTGAAAGGTTTAACAACAATTTGAATTAAACCTATATGAAGGTATTTATAATTTTTTTTTTTATGGAATTGTAATATTTTATTAGATAATAATTGGAAATCCTCTTGGTTACTTGTAATAGATGGAGTTTGTTGTACTGTTTTGATGGCATATCCTATTTTAAGATCAAAAGTACTTTTTTTATAAACATCAGATATTATAATTATTCCACAATACAAACAGGCTCAACAAGAACCTGAAGAATCTGACTTCCTCCAAGTCTTACAACTAGAGGAAGAATTTGATAACCAATATGTAACAGATGACTATTTATCTGTTGAAAATACATATATAAGAGAATGGTATCTTGATAATTTTGAACCAAAATTAATATCTTTATTTCATAAAAAATATAACAAATTCCGTAAACAAGGAAACAAGAGTAAGTGCTTTTTCACATGGTTAAAAGACATCTTACACCAATATTCTATTCCTATCCCAGAATATCATCTTCAAACACTTGAATCCCAATATACTGTATTTAATACAACAGAGGGAAAACCAATTACTTCAATCCATCCTCCTGAAAAAAGTCTTAAAATCAAAGGAGCACCATCAAAAACTCCCACAGAAACTGACAATGAGGAAGAAGAATCAACCGCTCAAACCCAAATAGTCCTTTATGAAACAATCGCTACTCCATATAAATTAAATAATACCAATATGTCCCGAATAGAATTATTTCTCCATATAATTGAACAAAACAATTATACAAACCTTTATCTTCAAACCCTTGGTAAACAAACAGTTCGAATCGAGAATTTATTAACTCTTACTCCTACTCGACAAAATGAACCTAAGAAAATTCTCTTTATACCTCCTTCTGAAATAAATAAAGACAAGTTCTTTATCAGAGACGACAATAAAACTCTTATGGATCAATTAATATCATAATTAGCTCAATTAGAAATCAAAGAACCCAAAGGAACACTTATTGAGAAAACCCCTGGAGCTAGTTTCGAAGATAGAGGACAAGCGAAAATTCCTGTCCATGATAATATGGCTCTTCAAGAAGAAGACTCTAAACCTCAAATTAAAAATACCCTGTCAAATATACAAAAGGCATTTACAGAACACAGTATTTCTCCAGATAGTATCTATCGAATCAATTATAGCAAAAATTGGCAGCCTATAAATGCTAAACCATATTATAGGAGACCAACCTTTGTGGACATACAATTAGAAGAAGATTTAGTTAGCCATACATCAACCTATACTGGTCGAACCATCAGTAATTGGAGTATTGATGGAATTTCAAATCATCAAATATTAGATACTATGCGACATATGACAATGTATGCATCAACATGCAAAATAGCTGGAAGCCATGACCAGGAAATAACAAAAGCCATAGTATCAGGATTTACTGGATGGCTTCGAGGTTGGTGGGATTTCCATCTCAATGATCAAACAAAACAACAAATCTTAACAAATACCCGAAATTGGAGAGTAAAGAATGAACATAACCAAGATATTTTATACACTGAAAGTGATGCTGTTAATACTTTGATATATATCATTGCCCTACATTTTATAGGCAATACTGCTAGATTAGCAGCAAGATCTGCTGACCTTTTATCAAACCTTAGATGCCCTACATTATCCCATTATAAATGGTATAAAGATGTTTTCTTTTCTTGTCTACTTATACGAGAAGATAGCCATTTAGATCATTGGAAAGATAAATTTGTAGTCGGCTTACCCTATCTCTTTGCTGAGAAAGTAAAAGAACGCTTAAAGGGTAAACATGGTGGTACAATCAATTATTCTCAATATACTTTAGGAGAATTATTGACGGAAATAGGTGTCGAAGGATTAGCCTTATGCACAGATATGAAATTAGAGAAACAAATCGATAAACAAAATATAAGTGGCAAAAAAAAATTAGGAGATTTTTGCGAACAATTTGGTTATCATATTGACAAAATTAAACCTCATGATTTACATAAATTCCATAAACGGAGAAAACATAAATATAAGGATAAACCAAAACAGGATAAACCCCAGAACTTATCCAAACGAAAACATAAATTTACAAAACGATTTGCCTCTACTAAATCATCTCAAAGGAAGGATAAGAAACTTCCTGTCTGCTATAAGTGTGGAAAAGTTGGCCATTA